TATTAGCATCATTTCCAAAAACTGATATTACTTTAACATCATGTAACAGTAAATGATTTAAATAATTACAATCAATTTATTATACCGACACAAATATTAATATCATTTAGAACAAATGATGTAAATAGTAACATCATTTGTAACAATTGACATATATTGACATCACTTAAATTAATTGATGAAAATATTAATTATTTTTGCATCAGTTGTGAATAAAATGATACAAATTATTTGCATCACCAAAAACTAAGTCATTTATTTAAGTGATGCAAAATGCATTTACATCATTTATAAATAATGCAAATATATAAAATAAATGATTCAAACTAAGCTTTTTTTCTGTAGTGATGTGAGACCTTTGTCCCTAATATTTCCTACGACCACGTACAAGAGCTGCTGACTTTCACTCCAGACAATGAGCCCTGCCATGGTGGAACCATTGCCCCAGTGCTTAGCACAATTATAGAGGAGTCGAGATAGATATCGAACTCTCTTTTGTCTTTAGTCATTTGAATAGTGATTGCAACAGAAAAACGTTTAGCTATGGCCAAAGTTTGTTCTGCTATGATACAATCATATCCTGAATCATGGTCCCAGCCTTGAGTATCCAACACTGACCTCGTAATGAGCTATGAAGTATATTCTGGAGAACGGTAACGATAAGCTGAGTTCTCATTTTCAAATGAAGGTGGCAATACCATATCAGTTAATGGCATTGGTGCTGCAGCTGGAGCCTCTTCTTCTCCATAATCACTCTTCTTTCCATTTCTTCAAATCCTCTCTCCATTGCTTCTTCTGCAGGAGCTTTTCACGGTAATCATACTCATCAAAGTATGCATTTCTTTATTCTTTTGAGAGTTTTGCAAGTTGTGTTTTCAAAATACTTTCTTTTTCTCCACCCAAATGACCAAATCAAACCAATGTTCATGTTAATTTTGAGTTATTTTATTTTTTATTATTCAAATTTATAAGTTGTATAATAGTTTTATTTTTAGATTTCGAGGATTTACGTATTTTGGATTTGTTACATAATTCAAATGGATACCCAAACCAAACTGAACATTCGAAACCAAAACCGTATCAAAACTATAAATATTTGAATGATGCTTAAATCTCTAGCACAAAAACTTGAAATATGAAAAAAACCCTGAATAAACCAAAAAATACCCCATAAAAATATAAGATTTTGTGTTTAATTTGTTTCTTAATATATAAATTTATGTGTTTAATTTATTTCCTAATATATTATCGTATTTAAGTTATATTAGACTAACATTTATATGAAAATATGCAAAAATGATATATTAATAAGTATTATTGAAAAGAAAAAAAAAATATTTCTTTAAGATAAACCACTACAGTCTTCCTGCTCACGAACAGGCATGTGTTCTGGTTTGGCATTTGTGCAATCTAAAAATGGGGAAATGATCTTCTAATACATGTGTATAGGTATGTGCGAGTGTGTCTACAGACTCATGAACGAGCTTCAGCAATGGAATGAACTGTATGGAGAAGAGGATCAAGGAAGAAGACGTACGTTCTTGAGCTACTTTATGTAGAAGAGACGAGAGAGATATTTGTTTGTTATTTAATCTCATGTTGGTTTCTTTAAGAAAGAGTGTTGTTCGGTTTATTGTCTAATTCATTTTCTTTCTCAACGTATAAAAAAAATCATTCGTCGTATGATAATCTAATACATGCACATGTATGTATAGAGAGAGGTTCGGATCGTATAAGGTTAAGGACCTGACTCAAAACCCTGATGGTGTGCCGCTTTGATGATGATTTCTGTTGTGGCCTAGAAAGCTATTTGTTGTAAGGTCTGGATCAGTGCATGAACGTGTATCGTGATTGATTTCTACACATCTTGTGAAATAATGCATCTACCCATAACTTGTCTTCTTCTTCTTTCTCGTTGCTGGTCATATCTTGGTACAATACAACAATATTATATTATTATCCAAAACAATATGCAGCCAGTTTAGAACACAGTTGCTTGTAACCTTACGTTGCCATCAATAACATTAATCTCAATGACATAACTACAAAACTTTTTTAAGTATTTCTCAGACATACACAAACAGGTAGGTACCTGTATTATGTACACAGTACACTGTATTACACACTCATTTTAGCTACAAAAATATTAAAGGACAACTCTCTCAAATATACATTTTTTTAGTATTTATTACAAAAATAGCTCCCAAAAATTGAAATGAGTAAAATATTATTTTTTTATTTAGAATTTTTTTAGTTTTTCTATTTTTAAAAATTTAAAATCATATCTCCAAAACCTCACTCCTCAATTCTAAACAAAAAAGTTTAAAATTATTTAACCCAAAATATATAAGTGTACTTAGTTTGATAAAAAGATTTAAATTTATTTTGGTCTTTTTTATTTGAAGATATATATTTGTGACAAAAAAGTTTTTTTTTTTAAGTTATCCTAGAGAATTTTTCAATGTTAAAAAAAAAATTAAATGTTCAGGGGATCGAAAGAAAAGAAGAAGAAACCTGAATTCACCTAAAACCTAACCTAATCTAGTCTAGTTCATTACGTGGGCCTTAACGAATTCTTGTAACTTTAGCCCAATGGGATTTCAAGTTAAAAAATGGCTGACAAAATAAAACAAAAAATCAAAACGCGAATCCCAAACGCTTCGATTCTGGCGGCAAAATACAGACCTAGGGCGATTTTACTCTCTCTCTCTCAGCTTCTCTGAGTTTCCAATTCCAGATTAGGGTGTTGATTTTTGAAATAGGGTTTAATCGATCGTTTTTTTAGGGTTTTGAAAATGCAGGGAGCTTCGTCTCCGTTGATAAGACCAATCAACAGAGCCGTGGTTCACAGAATCTGCTCCGGCCAAGTCATCTTAGACCTCTCCTCCGCTATCAAGGAGCTCGTGGAGAACAGTCTGGACGCCGGAGCCACCAGCATAGAAATCAACCTCCGTGACTACGGCGAAGACTTCTTTCAAGTCATCGACAACGGCTGCGGCATTTCCCCATCTAATTTCAAGGTAACAATTCTCCCACTATAAAACTGGATCAGGGAATATACCGTTTCATGATTCTCAGTGTGCCTCAGGTTCTGGCGCTTAAGCACCATACTTCGAAATTGGAGGATTTCACAGATCTTGAGAGTTTGACTACGTTTGGTTTCAGAGGAGAAGCTCTGAGCTCTCTATGTGCCTTGGGGAATCTAACGCTGGAGACGAGAACGAAGAACGAGCAAGTTGCTACGCTCTTGACCTTTGATCGTTCTGGTTTGTTGGTTGCTGAGAAGAAGACTGCGCGCCAGATCGGTACCACTGTTACTGTGAGGAAGTTGTTCTCTAATTTACCTGTTCGAAGCAAAGAGTTTAAACGTAATATACGCAAAGAGTATGGGAAGCTTGTATCTTTATTGAATGTGAGTTTCTGTACTGATTTACTTTACACTTGTTTTTTTGGATTAAACCTGATATTGTCTCTTGGTTACATGATGCTACTTTTGATGTATTATTACTGAATTTCCACGGTTTGTTGGAATGATACTGTGATTCAAATGGCTTATTTTCTCATTTCTAGTGTGGATGAGTACTATATTTTATTGGCATGATTCTTCTGGAACAATTTCATGCAAATTACCATATTGCTAGGAAGTAGATTTTACTATGTAAACTGTTTTAAGCTCAGTGTTGTGCCCTAGAATCAAATTTTGACTTTTGCTGACTCAACGATGACTTATGACTTGTCCTTTGTGCAGGCATATGCACTTATTGCGAAAGGGGTGCGGTTTGTCTGCTCTAACGCAACTGAGAAAACCCCAAAGTCTGTTGTGCTGAGCACACAAGGGAAGGGTTCACTTAAAGATAATATCATAACAGTATTTGGCATGAGCACCTATACTAGTCTGCAGCCGGTAAGTATAAGTATATCAGATGAATGTAGAGTTGAAGGGTTTCTTTCCAAGCCTGGACAAGGAACTGGACGCAATTTGGCAGATCGACAGTATTTCTTTATAAATGGTCGGCCTGTAGATATGCCTAAAGTCAGCAAATTGGTGAATGAGCTTTATAAGGATACAAGTTCTCGTAAATACCCTGTTGCTATTTTGGATTTTGTTGTACCTGGTGGTGCATGTGATTTGAATGTCACGCCCGATAAAAGAAAGGTCTTCTTTTCTGACGAGACTTCTGTTTTGGGTTCTCTGAAGGAAGGTCTGAACGAGATATATTCCTCTAGTAGTGCGTCTTATACTGTTAATAGGCTCGAGGATAATTCCGAGCAACCAGATAAGACGGGAGTTTCATCTCTTCACGGGAAATCAAAC